GACTTTATTACAAGGCGCTACGGTGTTGATTCGGTTGAAAATAAAACTATTATAAGACTTTGTCTTGGTTCGTTAGTATACAAAAGTAGCTGTATATGTGCATAATATTCGCGCGGACAGAATTTAGCTTTGATTTTGTGACAAGTTATCTACTCGTAGTAGTATTGTTGATCGAAGGATGCATAGATTCATATTTCGATTCTTGATATCAACAACAATACTTAACAGTATCTTGTTAATAAAATCCAAATATCCAATAATATGGGACTTTTTTAATTTATAACTTCAGCTGCTCAAAGTATCTTTCGAAATTTTTATCAGTTTGATCATCATCTTACTTCGCTTTTTTAACAATAAGGATAAATTGACGTTTCGTGTTGAAATTTCATTAGACAGGAAATCTTTAAGCAATGCATCAATTACAATTCAATAATTTTCAAGAAAGGTCCCGAATAAACAAACAGAAGCACTCAGGACTTGTTTTAGTAGAGACGATATTTGCTCAAATCTCTTAATCATTCATAATGACATTAAGATACGGTCACGTAGGGGTCAGAATAGTCCTTAAGCTGGTTAGTTGGGTTTAAAGTTGGCCCTTAAATATGATTATTGTACCTTCGTAAATTCCTGCTATACAGAGAGAAACAGTTAATGAAAATTTTGGCTAAATTAAACTAAAATCAATTGAAAATCCATAATAAAAGCCATAATTAAACGATGGATTATCTTAGGAATCACGTGTAGGAGCCGGTAGGCCAAGAGTAGCATACTAGGTAAGGATATTACAATCACTTAAAGGTAATAGTTATAGTCATGACTCAGTTATAAATCATTTATCATTATAAAAACGTTCATCTTAATTTAACGAGACTATTATGAAACTTTGGAAGCATTTATCATACTTTTATCCATCATACTTATGATACTCTGTAGTAAAGATAGGAATTAATACTTCTTTAAAATTTACAGAAGCCATATTTACAGTAACTAGATGCCAAGTTCATTACGAGCGCTCGCTTTGGCACATTTGCATTCTTTGTTCGATCATTACTCAACAATTTTCTCTATATTAGAGGCAGTGCTGTGAAATATAAAGGTGAGCATGTTGGATGTAGAACGTACACCATGAAAGTTAGGAGTGACAATCAAAGAACAAATAACTTATGAATCTAAGAAATATTAGATGCGAAATTTGTAGGGTTATCAAAATTAGCGTGCTTGAAGAGATGCTTGCTTATTGATAATATGGATCAAGTTAAATAGCTTACATTTTTTAGCTTTTAGATGCGTAATGGGATTCTCTATTAATATTCTTTTGCCATTCAGTAATTAAAGTGCTGAAAAGTATGTACAAAGTCGGAGTCTATGAGATTTATTTTTTTAAGACTTTCTGTTTTCGCAACCCAAGTAAAGAATATTCTAACATTCAACAGTCAAAATTAATCATTTCCGCTCGTTGGGGCGTTATAATTATTCACGTCGAATTCATTAAACATTTTCAGGCTATAAATTATTATTAACTAATTTTTCCGGAAATTTTTCGAACGGCAAAGTTTTGATGTCATTAGGCAAAGTCAACTTACGCTTAATTTACTTCGACTTTGACAGTTGGATATGTTTTGACAATTTATTTCATTTACTCCAGAATATGATTTGATGGAGATTCAAATGTTTTATTTAAATAAGAAAATATAAATTTTATATAAGATTTTTTATATGTTGAGCAGTTTTTATACTTTTGGGTCAATTAACAATTTTGAAGGAATTTATTATTATCGTAAAGTTCCAATAAAATGAATTGCATAAGCAGCAGATGAAATTTTAGACTATACCTAATTATAAAGACATCTAGAGGCGCTTTTGAGTCGTTAGGGAAGTATAAAAAAATATTCTCTTTTTTCATCCCTACATAATCCATCAAAAACATATTCGAAAACAAGTCATAAATTAATATATAATTTAAAAAACCCGCGACCATCTTGGACCGATTTTCATCAAACATAGCTAAGAACACACACTAATTCACCTTCCAAACAAAAAAAGAACTAAATCAAAATTGGTTCATGCGTTCGGAACCTACCTACTATGCCATAGACAGACACGCAGATATTTCAAACTTACAACACCCCGTCGATTTTGCGTCGGGGGTTAATAAAGTATCATGTGATAATATAACGAAACTGACGCTCAATTTTGAAATTTAAACGAAAATAATACGTACATTATTAACACCTATTTTTCAATTTTAACTTGTAAAATGACATCATCTCAGTCGCATTTTCGGAAGCAGAGTGGATATGGAAAGTTAGACTGGCAGTATATTAGCATTACAATAGTCCGGCTGGCGGCGCGCCAGCCGCTGGTTCTACGTACTGACCTGATAACGCGAAGTATTTTTGAAGACATAGTATTTTATATGCTGCGATAAATAACGATTTCAGTGCAGTCGAACTGATATGAATGATATATGACGACTTATCCTTAATCATTTTCTATTTACGAAATATCCTAATAATCCTTAGTAATATTAGACATTCGAATGTGTGTTTGTTCTTTTATCGATGGAACAATAGTTTATGAATCGGAGAACGACTTATTTTTACTATTAGGTATATTAGTCAGAAAATATGATCAAGGTAAAGGAATCTTATTAGTATTTGAAAAACATCTCAGTTATCAAGAGGTCAAGCACCGATTCGAATAACAAGACCGATCATTAGTTGTAATTTCTTGAAATTAAAAGCTCATTTAACAGTGAAAACTTGTTCGTCTCTTGACATCATGTTTAATTAGTAAATTAATTATTCAAAGGCGAATCCTGTCTTTCCCAGCCATTAGAGGCTTCAAAGGAACAAGGAAATTGAAGACTGCCTTTTGCCTTCTATATTCGTACATACTAAAATAACACAGAATATAGCATAGATTGTAATTACAGCAATTTGAATGATCATCCTAGTTGAATAGGATATCAGAGTAAATATAGTACTACTAGCAGAACCCACAGCTTCGCCTGTACAAAAGTATATAAAACTAGCTACTTTCCCTTCCCTTTACAATAATGTATGCCCGATTTGTTGACTTTTATGATTACTGGTCCGCTCCCTTGGGTAATAGCATGATGATATATAGCCTTCCTCAAAAAACGGGTTACCTAATGCAAAAAGAATTTTTCAAATCGGTAGTTCCTGAACTTTGTGCGTTCAAACAAACAAACAAACAAACAAACAAACAAACACTGCATTTTCATAATATTAGTATAGATGAATTTACACTAGAGATAATATGTAAATATTTATATATATTAAATTCGACCAGGGTTTAAAAAGGTAGATGTTCAAGCTGTAGATAAAAATTATAACAAACTTTAATTTTATTTTTGTTTGTTTGTTTTAAGATCACATTGAAAGTTCAGAAATGCACTTGAAAATTACATAAAAAATTTCAATAGAATTTGTATTAAATTTTGAAATCAACTTGAATAATATTATATATCATTTGTCAGACAATAACAACGGTTACCATGGCAAGAAACAATTATCAACTAAATTCATCATATCGCTTTTTGGCATTTTACTCTCTTTTTTCCCGTCTCTCATTTTACTCTCTTCTTTCCACACGTGCCAAAAGAAATGTTATTTCAAAAGAAAAGTAAAATAAAAAGTGTAGTAAATTAAGTATCAAAACTATATGAGTTAATTTTTGAAAGTCAAAAGAATACTTAAATAAGAAATAAACGATAAGAACTCTAAGTAGATGCCGAAGATGAGGTGGCTTGTGATAAGAGAGTCAAAAGTTACGAACGAAAGTGTTACTTTGTTGCAAGAGATCGTTCCGTTGAGAATCTCGATATTTTCACACTTGTTTATGAAATAATGGAAGCTAAGGTTTTAAATAATATTTCATTTTTTTAAATCAAAAACCGTCCAGATTAAAAATTTACATACAAATATACATCGTAATAGCCGAAATATTTAATTGTATGAATGAATAAGTTCAACTTTCATTTATAATCTGGTTCCATCACCAGCTCAGTTCGATGATATCAAAATTAAAGTATTCTCATCTGGATTTTATATAATTATAAAGTTTGGATACAAAAATTAAACATATGCTAACAATTATATTTCATTACATGGTAAGGTATCACTAAGTAAGGTACAGTGAAACTAACAAAAGCATTCTAAAATAGCCAGTGACTCGCTCGAAAGTACCTAGGTCGCAGATTCAATTTTTGTGTAGACTATAATTTTGTAAATTATCCAAAGTTAGATACTCAAGTTTGTCTGCGTAGTAGCCGGATAAACTTGAGGAAAGGAAATATGGAAGGAGGTGGTCCCTGAGTGTTGGGCCTTCTTTTATAGTTGGGCTCTAACGAACCCGTGTTCCCCTGTCATCTAAGCGTTTGAGAAAAACAGAGATTGACAAATCGTGTTTTTTGTACTTTTCAATGAAAATACATGAAGCATGAAATTAGTAGGCGTATTCTGGTTAGTTATGGATTTACTAGTCAATACTTAGCAGCTAAGGTATTATTTGTTTATTGCTACTAAACACACTTTATACTTGTACATTTTACCTAAGCCGCATCAAAATTGATTCAGTAGTTTTTGATACTAGCACTTACATACATACATACATACATACATACAAACGTAAAGACAGAACGACAAGCGCCTGCTGACGACTTTTTAAACCTATCTGTAGGAATAATGTCAAAGTTCTGCTAAGTACAAAACAATTTTTAGCCATCTCCAAAAAGAGGTTCTTTCAATTCGGTAATATGTAGGTACATACTACATAGTACATATTTTTGCGTATATTTGTTACGTTATATCTTCTACATATGTGAATCGATTTTCATAAATCTTGTTTAATTAATATGTAGGCTATAAAAGTAAAATCTTTCTTACCATATCGTAGAGAGTACATAATCTTTGTCCAAAATTCGACTACATACGTGATATTTGAATACACATTCTTAAAGTAATGTAAAAGGATACATTCTGAGGTTGCCGCCTTTGTCGCCGATCGCTAGTAGCTTCTGTATGGGGTCCCATGCTAGCGCTGTGGGGGAGAACGGGAACCCGTGTCGAAATGTCTGTAACAAGGAAAATAAATATAAATAAGTGCCCTATAAGGATGTATCGTTGTAAATCTATACATATAATAAAATTCTAACTGAGTCGAACCTGTAACATTAAATAATTTTAAGTCTTATCGAAATAGACATTATTAGCGATACAGAGGCCAAATCTATAGTTTTTAGAATTTATGTCTGTTTGTCTGTCTGGGAATGCATCTAGAGAAAACCACGTATGATGAGAGCTGGTTATCCGGATCAACATCTAGGATACTTGATGATAAGAAAAATACAAAAACTGCAATGTAACAGTATAGTATGATTTTTGGTCATCAGAACGCGGGCTGAGCCGCGGGCAATACTAGTCTTAATATATTTCGATACGTAAAATACATATTTACCTATTACATATTTATATCTTAAAATATTGTCCTCTGGCACCGACTTCGAAAATATCTGATTAGGTATCTAGTCTAAATAAAAGCAACCGTTTAGTTATTTTTTACATTTTAGTGCCTGGAAGTCGGTTTTATATTATTTTTTAAAGTTTCTATTAGTTAAATTGTTTCTACAGAGAGAGGGTTTCATATGAAGACGTTACAAGGAAATTATTGTAAAGTTTTGAAATATATGAAAACTAGATTCAACGAACAGCTGTAAGACTAAAATCCCCGTACAGTCTGAGAGTGTTGTCTGTCTGTGTTTATACATTCATCATTTATGTTTAGATTTATTCAATTTTAAAATAACAAATTTAGTTTGTTTACGATAAAAAGTTATCTTTAAGCATATTATTATGAAACGCTATTTGTTTATTTAATGTAACATGATAAGCTGTATTTTGTATATTAACACCTAACGACGCACCCTCACTTCGCTCGGGTTCGATGACTCTTTAGATTGAAATAACTTTATTTTTAAACCGATTGAAATAAAACAAATGTTATGTGAAGCTTACAGTTATCACAATACATTAGTGAAAACTGCACTCAAAACGGTGAAGCTAATTTTGAGATTAGCGCGCACAAACACACAGACAAACAGACAAAGATTCTAAAAATCATCGTTTTGAGTTTTATTGCGTTAGTGAAGATATAACTATGATATAGTGAAATAGTTTTTTGTTATATGTATATAGATTATAGATGTATGTATATACAATATACATAGATTATAAATGATTTTATATAAACTGTATTTCGGTGTAAATAAAATATTCTTTTTTCATTCAAAAAAAAACAATAATATTTGAAAACACTAATTTATCCTACTATTAGTTAAACTACCTATTAGTTTTAAAAACCTTAAATCTTACATTTAGTCAATCCATAATTCCATACTAATATTATAAATCTGAAAGTGTGTTTGTTTGTTTGTCCTTCTTTCACGTCAAAACGGAGGACGAGTTGGTGTGATTTTTTGTGTGGAGATAGTTGGAGGGCTGGAGAGTGACATAGTCTACTTTTTACCGCGGGAGATTATTTATTCCTACGGGAAAACACGTTATATTACAACCCAAAAATATTTATGATCAATCCAATTAAAAAAATCTTTTCAATAACATTAAAAAAAATGTGTTTTAGCATTTTTCGAAATTCATCCCATATGGGAGTAAAATATGAAAATTTGTATGAAATCTACCTTTTTAGAGTTTTTTTATAGTTTTAGCGCGAGCGAAGCCGCGGGTTCTGCTAGTAATTTATAAAATAACGGTTACTATGGAATACATAAGACTTTATATTATATACACATATGTAAGATGACTTCTTGTGGGTTGTATTATAATGTGTTTTCCCGTGGGAATAAGATAAATTTTTGTTACTATCCATCCCTCCAACTATCTTCAGACAAAAAATCACGCCAATCCTTCACTATATATCGAAAGAAGTGAAAGAAGGACAAACAAACAAATAAACAAACAAACACCGTTTCACATGTACAGTATTAGTATGGATAACAACAGAGTTGGATACAGCATCCTATTTATCATCGTTAAGTTCACCTGTAAAAAAGGTTATCTGAGGGACCTCAATAACAACGATACGATAATTTGTTTTCGACGAGTGATAAACTATTGAAAAAAAACTATAAAAATGAGTGTAAAAATATTATCGGTACATTCGACTGCTAGCCGGCACGAAGAAAGTCACCATGAAGTTTGTTCTGTTAACGGCGTTCCTCGCCGTGGCCTCGGCGTCCATCATCAAAGAAGATCACCACTTTATGATTGGCAAAGAAACTTTGGGTACGTGAAAATAACATACCACTTTTATTCCTATTATGTTAATATTTAAAAAGTATATGTATAAAAAGACGGAATACTTACAGCATAACTTACAAGTTTGTCTGTCACTTATATCATAGCCCTATTTAGTCCTAACATAGACTCTGTCTTTATAGTTATTTTTAAAATCTCTTAAATTATTTTGGCATTATAACATAATATTAGTTTACTTAGTTTTTCATAAATTGCTAAAACATACCTTTCTTAAACCCACGTCTTAGAGGTCTCCGTTACTTCTATGGCATTAATAGAGAAAAGCTGCCATTTTGTTTTATTATATTATATATAATCGATCCAAAAACACCGCGCTCTACTTAATCAGGTGTATATGTAATTATAATCGACGTATTTAAGCAAATTAATTAAATTTCAGTGAGCACGTTGATAATTAATTAATATGTAAACGTATCGAATGGTCATATATGTTGGTACGTGTATTATGTACATTTATAAGATATATAGGAAGAAGTAGATTTGAGTTAATATTATAAATGAAAAATCACAATAGCCTTGACGCTAAAAGCTATCTCTAAATGAATTTTAAGACTCTAGGCAGAATTATTCATAGACTTTCTAACAATGTGAATCTTTTAAAGTAAATACTACTTGTACTGACACATTACGTTAATTCTATTTTGAAATTATATCAATATAAAATAAAACGTGGTCTTTGTAGTCTATACGTATATACAAAGTTTATCAACGTGGATCGAACCACAGGGTCTACGGAGCCAGAATTTTACAAATTCCTTTTAGGTACCCAGTAAGAAATAGTTTGTTATTTAGTAGCCGGGACCAGCTTGACAAGGGTCAAGTATAGGCTTGATAATTTAATCTTAATTAACTTAAAGTATTATTTATTTTAGTCAATTTGGATGTAAAGAGCAAGGAGATCTTGTGCATGAAACTGCTGAACTACATCCTGCAGCCGACTGTGTACGATGACATCAGAGAAGTCGCCAGGGACTGGGTCGTTGAAGACAACATGGACAAGTATCTGGTAAAATCTAATAGTATTACTTATAAGTTATATTTTAATTATACCAGAAAATAATGTCTAAATATTTCAATTATACAAAGCCAAATTAGTAAAGTGTTTCGAAACGGAAATCGAAATCTTTTGTAATTGCATTATATGCATTTAATATCTTTAGTAAGTATGAATATTTTATTTACAGAAAGTCGATGTAGTGAAGAGGTTTGTGGAAGTCTGGAAGATGGGTTTCCTGCCCCGTGGCGATGTGTTCGTACATAGCAATGACAAGCACATGGAACAAGCCATCGTTGTATTCCGCATGATGTACTTTGCCAAGGACTTCGACACCTTCATCAGGACTGCTTGCTTCCTCCGCGAACGCATCAACGGCGGCATGTTTGTGTACGCCTTTACCTGCGCAGTGTTCCACAGAGAAGATTGCCGCGGAGTCATTCTGCCAGCTCCATATGAAATCTACCCCTATTTTTTCGTCGACAGTCACGTCATCAACAAGGCTTTCATGTTGAAGTCCAGCAAGGCCGCCACTGATCCCGTTCTCTTCGACTACTATGGTATTAAAGTCACTGATAAAAACCTCGTATTCATCGACTGGCGCAAGGGTGTTCGTCACGTAATGAGCGAAGATGACCGCTTAAACTACTTCACTGAGGATTTCGATCTTAACACCTTCTTCTACTACTTGCACATGAACTATCCATACTGGATGGTGGACGAAGAATACGGTTTAAACAAAGAACGTCGTGGTGAAGTCGCTATGTTCGGTTACCAGCAGCTGCTTGCAAGGTACAGATTGGAGCGTTTGAGCCATGGTATGTGTGATATCTCGATGATCAACTTTAAAAATACATTGAATAATGGCTACTGGCCCAAGATCCGCATGCACAACGGAGAGGAAATGCCTGTCCGTAGCAACAATGTTGAGATTATTAACAAATTCAACATTAAAGAAAAAACTTACATTGATGACATTGAGACCATCATCCGAGAGAGTATCAATAAGGGGCGTTATGAACGTGTAAGTTTATATATTAAATTTGATTTATTTTTTCGGTTATTATTATCTTGGTATAAAGTTTATTTTATTTTTTATCCAATCTATTAGATATTCTTTTAATGTTAAAAATATTTGTGCAGCGCGACGGTACCGTTGTTAGCCTGAAAAAACCGGAAGACTTTGAATACCTCGCCAGAATGCTTCTTGGTGGAATGGGCATCGTGAATGATGACGCCAAGGTTATCCACCTCGTGCACTTGTTCAGGAAGATGTTATCCTATAGCACGTACAACTTTAACAAGTAAGTTATTAATAATTATATGACTTCAGCATCGCAACTGCTATTATCTTATATGAAAAATTATCTTATGTCCTTCCCAGGACTCAAACTATGTTCATACCGAATTTCATCTAAAATGGTTCAGCGGACTTTTAGTTTATCCTTTACAAACGAACATTTTTTTCTCTTTATCTTCTTTGTATAGAAGCATAGATTTTGTTTAATTTTAAAAATTAATTAATATATAATTCAGAAATATGTAAAAGTATATAAACTATATTTTTACATATTTCTGAAGTTGAAAAATGTCATTAAATACAAGTGTAAGACCATTTTTACTTTTTAGGTACACTTACATCCCAACTGCTTTGGACATGTACACCACTTGCCTACGAGACCCTCTGTTCTGGAGAATCATGAAGCGCATCACTGAACATGCTGTTCTCTTCAAGAAATTCTTGCCGATGTACACCAAGGATGAGCTCGACTTCCCTGGAGTCAAAATTGAACGTCTGACTACAGACAGGCTAGTCACTTTCATGGACGAATATGACGTGGATATCACTAATGCCCTTTACCTAGATGAATCAGAAATTCACAAGAAAAAATCTGACATGACTTTCATTGCCCGTACTCGCCGCCTTAATAGCCAGCCATTCAAGGTCACCATCGATGTCGTATCTGAGAAGGCTGTTGATGCAGTAGTAAGAATTTTCATTGGACCTAAATTCGACTGTATGGGTCGTATGCTCAACGTTAACGACAAACGTCTTGATATGTTAGAAATCGATAGCTTCTTATATAAACTTGATACCGGAAAGAACACCATTGTCCGTGATTCCAGTGAAATGCACGACGTTATTGGAGACAGGCCATGGACTCGTCGCTTCATGGACTCTATTGGTGATATGACTGTAGGTGTTGACAAAATTGTGGACAGCTACTGGTACAAGCAACGTCTGGGTATTCCCCGTAGACTGTTGCTGCCTCTTGGTCGTCGCGGTGGACTGCCTCTTCAGATGTACGTTATTGTTACACCTGTACGCAATGGTCTCGTGCTGCCTAACATCGACATGAAAGTCATGAGAGAGCGTCACACTTGCCGCTTCTCAGTCTGCTTTGACACCATGCCGCTTGGTTTCCCATTCGACAGAGAGATCGACATAACTCGCTTCTACACCAACAACATGAAATTCCTCGACATCTTCGTGTACAGGAAGGATGTCGATATCTCCAACAATGTCAAAGATGTCGACATGTCTGACATGGTCATGAAATATGACGATCTCACTTATTTGGACACAGACAAACTAGTGCGATGGTCATACAAAGATGTTATGATGACGAGCGCCGACAAAATGATGAGATTTTAAATTATTGTTTAACTAAATATTTATGCTATAACATTAAATAAGAAGCATTGAAAAACTAACGTATATTTTGATTCATTTCCTTTCCTTATAAACGTATTAAAGAGTAATATACAATATAATATATGGAATAGGTACATTGTCATAGTTCAGTCCTATGGAAATGCTTGATTTAGCAGAAATATTATTATTCAGCGGGCTCTTCTGATCCTTTTAACTGGAGCTAATTTTCTTAAATATTTATCACTTTTGAGATTTATTTAGGTTCTCAAGAGTTATTGTATTTACAAGCTGTAATTTTGTTTTTATTTTCATAAAAATTAAAAATCTAATATTTATTACTAATTATTAAAACAAATAAATGTATTGATTGCTTTTCTAAAATAACTTTAGAATCTGAGACAATAAGTAAATTTATGAAATTTCAATATTAAATTTAAAAAAATAATGTTAAATCAATGTTACATTTATTATATGTAACTTGGAAAAACCAAATTGGGAAAATAATAATATAAAATAGACAAAAGTATTTAAAAGTACAAATATCTATAAACAAGTTAATTAATTAAAATTATATTTAAATAATAAAAAAGAAGTTACTAAATAAATTTGAGTATGAAATTAGTTATTTCAACTAAGTCAATAGAAAAACTGTCGAAACGACTAATAACTAGCACATGATAATTTAGAGACATGTTCTTCATGACAGACGAAACATACAATCATATTTTGCGGGCATGAATCGACGATTTCTGGTTTAGAATCCGTATATGTTACCACTGCGCTATTTGGTAGTCAATTAAGGCAAAGAAACAAAACAACTCAAATGGAGATGTACAACAACATAACAAAAATAGAACGTAAAAATGTTAGAAATACCGATATCGAATGGAATTTTTAATTACGTTTGTGTTACGGAACGTCGATGATAGAGATACTGGCGATAAAACGCGAAATCTAGCTTTGCTTTGTTGGAATTGGTTCAACAATAGTTTTGCTCTTTCTTGTTGCTTCTAGTGTGTTATAATTAAAAATAACATTGCCATTCATGTTGTACACTTTTCCAACGTCTAAAGTTCTAAAGCATACATTAAAATTCTTCTATTATTTATATTTATTTATAACATGTCATCAGTACAAAAAATATTACTAAAAATTCTATATTTTTATGTTAAAATAACTAGTTTGCGATTTTAACGATAATATTTTTATTTCGAAAACATGTTTGTTAAAATCTTGTAAATAAATTAAAAGCTTTTATTTAATGCTCTAAATAAAAACTAATTAAAAAAAAATAAACCGACTTCACAAAAATTCTAAAAAGTAAAAGATAACTGAAGAGGGGTTTTCATTTACTATAGATACCTAATCAGATATTTTCGAAGTCGGTGCCAGCCGATGTCAAACAAAGCAAATCTAAATATATTTGCTATAATAATTCGATGCCTATAAATACATCACAAATTGATGCATAATATTTTAACTATAATTAGAGTTCATACCTTATTAGATATTCATATCTTAAAATATTGTCGGCTGGCACCGACTTCGAAAATATCTCATTAGGTATCTATAGTAAATGAAAACCCCCGTTCAATTATCTTTTACTTTTTACTATTTTTTTTGAAGTCGGTTTAATTTTTTTTAATTACTTTTTTATTTCTTTCAACATTTTTGGTTTTAAGTAAAAACTAAAATAGTTTTTTAATAAGTAGTAATTACAAAATCTATTTCAGTTTCAGTTACACGTTAAACGTGACTAAAGTCCATATCATAAAAACTACTGAACCGATTTTAATGAAATCTTTACTTTTTCCTAAGTTGAAATAAATGTAAGTAAATAAAAAAAGAATGATCACGATCCGATAATTAGTTTCGGAGAAATGCATGGACAAACATACATACATACATACTTACACCTATTGTTTATTGCGTTAAGGTGTATTATTGCTTGAATAGACTTAGCGATGCGAGTGAAAGGAAACAAGCGTGTGTATCGTACTGCGTTTAATTTGCAACTAACTAACTCATAAAATATGTTTACAATATGTAGATATAAGAGCGTAATTCTAATACATTACTTAAACACCTATAAAATTTCGTATATTTGTTTGGAAGCCCTAATACATTACCATATTAGTGAATATTTTGCAGTTCCAATAATATAATATACATACGTCTCGAATTGATAACTTCCTTTTTTTGAAGTCGCTTAAAAAGAAGTGAATAAACTTTAACGTAAATCAAGCCCAACAACTACATTACTCAATTTATATGATATAAAAGTTTGTCGCAAGATTTACTATTTTAAATATTATATTATTGTTTATCATACATCTAATCTCACTGAGACTAGACATCTGCGCATAAGATATTATAGTGCACAAGTACGCGTGGGCAAACAGATTACACAAGTGTACAGTGTATAATCTCAAAGACCGATTCGAAGATACTTCGATATGACTGGTGAGAGTTAAGTTACAGAACCGACGCGACAGAAGGCAAAACATCGCCAACTTGCTAACTCAAGGCTGTAATTGATAATTTCTTAAATTTTCGTTAATGAAAAAACAGATAAGCTAAACTAAACTTGGACCGACTTCGGACTCGAACCCATGACGTCTGATCTGTAGCTGTACATGTGAACCACTAGGCCAACGAAGCAGTAAAATTTTTATATTACAAAGGTGGTGAAAATATGATCTTGACAACTTGATTGAAAGCACAAAGGGATATAACATCACGCGATGTAAACGTTATCACCTGAGGTGAAGGTAATTTAGGAGAGGTATAATGGGGTATTTGGGACGCTAACACTCTCGCTCACCGATACTTTACGTCTATGTTGTTTAAAAGAACTTTCCCGATCGAAGCGACCATTAGTGTATTCTATAGAACAAGGATTTATGTACACATACGAGTAGGTATGTATGTAATCATTTACAATTTGCAACATGTTATTTCTAAATTAAATGTTTTTGTTCTTGCAAAAAAGCATTTAATATGAGGAATAAATCTGTTTGTATAAGCTTGCGCTACGGTTCTGGATTTAGCAGACAGCTTTGTAGAATGACGAATTACTCATTAGGGCGTCCAGGCTTAGTGAGTGAGGGATTGGGACTTAGGATGTTAAGCTCCTTTGTTTTACAAAAATAACAATATCAATATGTTAACACGCGTAAATATATTGTTTGTGAATTGCTTAAAATATCCGTTATTCAAGTATATAAGGTACCTAAATTCCGAATTCCACTTAAATTCTTTGAGACGTTACAGCGTGAAGGAGGAATATGGCAATGTCTTTCCGACCGACTTCAGCCACGGCGGCTGATCTCCCTAAGGTTAGCAAACTGAGGAGGAGATAAAGTGCACAAGTGTAAGCGCAGACACGACTCGACACGGCCGGTGAGTGATCAGGTGTAGTATCGACGGCTTTACGTGCTCTCCAAAGCATGGGGCTAAGAAACGCCAACTTCTCAAATCCGGCCTGTTACTGTAATATTCTTAACAAAAAGACACCATAACTAAAATTGACCCGACCAAGGACTCGAATTCAGAACCTCCGGATACGGCTAGCCACTATACCATCTAGGTAGTAACAAATATACATAATTACTCAGAAACTTTTGCATATATAAGTATGAAATCAAATATTATCAAATCAAATACTTAGAAAATATCGTTTCGTTAAAATATATTATTGATAGCAAATTCGCGGGCATAAGCTATTCGTCGAGTAAAACGTACGTAGTAAAATTTAAGGCTCTGTCAGGCAATTTACAGCCCCGTACAAAAATATAATGTAATTCATACCATGTTTAGCACAAAAAATGTTTTCGTAATACCCTTTAAAGGGTAGATACCCTTACATAATTATAACAAGTGTCGCGCGGACACTGTCCTGTGATCTGATGTTTGAAATGAATAAGAATTGTATCATAAATATAATAAAAACTCATATTTTAACGTCAACAACTTATAATAACAGTCATTCATCTTGTACCTGACTGCGACAAAGGGCTACAACTAGACGAGGGTCTGATAGAGCCTGTCCGCAACAACAAGGAGTTTAGCGATCTCTCCACTAATTTACATTAAACTTCTTTCTACCGATACTTTTAAAATATATTTCATATAAGATTTATGTTCCTATTACTTTATATATAAAAAGATTTCACAAAAAAAGATGTAAAACTAAAACTGACACAATGTTTATAGTATTGTCACTTAAGGTACTTTACTGCTGAATTACTTTAAAAGTGATTATTACACCTTTAGTTGTATGTGTAATTTATGTAAAGATTTTATACTTCGCAATAAACTCGAGTGTTGTGAGAAAAAATCCTTATACATCTATACATATAATAAAATTGTAACTAAGCCCAATCTGTACATTAGATATTTTTTTGGAAAATCTTATTGAAATAAACATTATTATCGATACAGAGGCCGAATCTATAGTTTTTAGAATTTTTCTCTGTCTGATTGTCTGGAAACGCATCACGAGAAAACTACTGGACAGATTTTGACGAAATTTGGTATGATGATAGCTGGTTATCCGAGTCAACATATAGGATACGTTTTACTGTGGAAAAATATCTCATGTCTGAGAAATCTATACTAACGTTAAACATAACGAGGGGCGAACCCGAGCGGAGTGAGGATGAGTCGCTAGTTTACTATATAATCTGTACAGTCACACTAATATTATAAGCGCAAAAGTTTGTGAACTTAGAATCCTAATATAACCTAACACTATTTTCCACTTACTTGAGTAGACTGAAAGAGATTTCTTTCAGAGATAATTCTACCTTTGTCCATATCACTTTATGTATTGTATTTATTAGTGAAGCAAAAAATCTTATAGGTAACTAGCTTTTCTGCGATTATTTATGTATAACTGTTTCGAACCTAAATGTCGTCGCGTGATCTTAGAAAACCTTCCTCAAGGATTGGGTTATAAATTGCATAAGATATTTTTAAAGTCTGACTAGTAGTTA